AAAGTTAACTCTGGACAACAGGTCAGAATTCCCGTACATGACCACCAACGAATTATGCTCGACTAGAGGTTTCCTGAACACTAATCAAAATCAAATTTTGATAACGTTTGTCCTTTCAATTTTATTTTTACAATTTTTAAAAATTTCTCCATATTTTTACCATAAAAATCTTCTCATAATCAAGTAATAAATTCAAATAAAAGTTAAGGATCATTGCCTTGATGATTTGAGCTGAAATTCTCTTCTTCTTTTTTTCTCTTCTCTTTTCCTCTCTTTTTCTCCCTTTTTTTTCTTTTCTCCTTTTGCCTTTTTTTTTTTTTCTGCTTTTGCATTCTGCTTCCATTTCTCTTTCCTTTTTATACGTCCTTTGTTCTTCTTCTTCTTTTTTTTCTAATAGGATTCATCCTTTTTATTTATTTATTTAATTCTTCCTCTCTTTTTTTTTATAATCTTGTTGTAAAATTATAATTAACCCTAATTAAATTAGAGTTATTACATAAAGTAAGAATACTCCATTATATCATTTTTGGGACTTTATAGTATATATATGATATTTTAAACTTATATACTCGGTTTTGTCTAAGTTTTCATATTTATAGAAAGTAACTAAAGTTTTTTTACAAAATATATACAAATTTGGTCAAAATCTACAATTTATCTACAAATTATATACATATTTTTTGTACAGAATTTGATCAAAAACTACAATTTACATACAATTTATATACAACTTTTAAATAATTTGTAAGTTGTAAGTATTTTGTATATCGTTTCTACAAAATATATACAATTTGTTTGTCATTTTTTTCGAGTTTCAATCTGAAATTTCAACCAAAACCACCTCAAGTCTTCACTAAATTCTCTCAAAATTGAGATATAAACTTCAAAGGATATTCACAATCATTTGCAACAACACCCAATCCAAACAAAAAATAATTTTACAAATTTATATTTTCAAATTCAAAGATTCAAAGCTTTCTATTGGATCAACATAGTTTTCAGTTCAATCTACTCACTTCTATTGATTCCAAAAAGCTAAAAGAAATTAACGATCCTCCCTCGCTCAAAAGTAATAATTCGCCCATTGTTTAATATAGAAAAATAGAAAATAAAAAGAAAGAGAAAATATAATAGAATTGCTTGATGCCAAATCCCTTTGTTCTCGTAAATATATGACTGAAGTTGAGGAAAAAGAGGCCAAACATTCTCATGTTAATTTATAATTTTAGTTTTGGGGTGGAAGAGGGAGAGAAAGTATGGAAGATTAGAATCTAATATATTATTTTGTATAAAATTGATAATTTGTATATGAATTTGTAATTAGGTTAAAATCTCAATAGTGACGGTAAATAAGTTTCAAAATTAGTATAGATAAGAAAAATTTCTATATTTTTGATTTTTCACCTAAAGGCTAGAAACCAAAACTTATGATTAAGTATTTATCTCACCATAATACTAAGTGATCTACAAGTTTTAATTCCTCTTACAGTTAATTACGCTAGAATATCTTGAGAAGTTAAATATCAAAAGGCAGAAAAAAAAAAAGGACAAAACAAAATTATTTGGAAACTAGTAATAATTAGCCGCGCTTTGCGCGGTCATTAAAAATATTAATAAATTTAAAAGGTGATTAATTTCTCAATTCGTTACTATTTGAAAAGTTAAATTTATTTTTTTCACAATTGTATTTTTGAAGCATTCTTAAATAATATGTTTTAAGTTATTAAGAACGTGAGCGTTTTTTGCCTTCTCATGCATCCCTAAATATATGAACATATTTCACAACAAAGAAAAATCAACTCTGAAATGAAAATTTTGGAATATAAGGAGTAATGAAGAAGAGTGATCAAAAGTTGTGTTGTAAATGTGAGACTTGGTTTTAAACTAAAAATTGTGCGCACATAGATACTCCAACAGGTTTTAAACTAAAAAGTTGTATTATAAATGAAATGTGAGATTTGATCCTCTCTCCATAATTTAAAAGTTACTCCAACCGGTTCGAAATAAGTATTTTGTTAACCTTTCAAATTTGGTACTTTAAAAAAATAAAGGAGAAGCAATCGAAACTGACATGATCAAATACCTATGTGCATCTTTCGTTTTATTATGTTCGTCCACGTCCATCTTCTTTTTTCGTTTTATTATGTTCTCTTTTTTCTTAATTTCTTTTTTGTCATTTTCTCTTTACTTGTTTCTCCCTATTTAATACATCTTTTCTCTTCACAAAAGAAGAATAAGAAAACAAATTGACACACCGTCCTTTCATGATGTTGTTGACATTATATTTTGACAAAAAGAATATGTAAGAAATATTTGAAATGAAATATGACACAACTCTTTTTAGTCAACATATGTGAACCTGAATAAAAATATAAAATCAAAAGAATAAGATAAGAAGCTAAGAGAGAGAACGATGCTAATGTAAAAATTTGGGATATAGACTTGAGATGTTGCTCGTTTTTTTTCTTTCTCTAACGCCTTTTTCTCCAAAGCTTTTTCTTAGTATTGAGATTCCTAGTCCTAGTAATAAAATATATAAATTGTAGTAACTTATGTTTGATAAGATTGACATCATTTTTGTTCTCTTGAATAAGAACTCAAAAACTAAATATGAAAGGGAAAAACGAAAAAGAAAAGGAAATAAATTGGAAATGCAGGAAAGATCAATATTCTGTATCACGTCAAATACAACAATTCCATAATTCTCTATCCCATTTTTTTCTCCTATTCCAATCCCAGCAGCCCAAATCTCATAATGCTTTTTCTAAGACCATGAAATACAGCTATTCCTTTCACACGATAATATTATCCTTTCTTTCTCATATCCCACTATGTTTGATTTCTGGGCTAATATCTATTTTCCTGATCAGTTAGCAGATTTTCATAACCCACAAAAAATCACCCAAAAATTAAGTAGAGAAGGAGAAGTACATGATTTATTGTTGGACTGAATGCCAATAGCATGTTCTTGTTTGTCACTAATGTTAGCTTGGTGATATAGAAGAATACATATAGAAACCAAATGGTCAAGGAAAGAAATTTTAAGGAGTAATACTCAAAGCAAGCCTCTCACGAACTGCTTCACAATTTGAATAGGATAAGTCTACATGATGAGATATTGAGTCCGCCATGCCACATCCTGAAGAGATATCCAATCAGGGGGAAATACTGACGTGATAAACCAAAAAAAATACTAAAGTAAGAAAAATCAGAAAACTACCATGAAAGTCACCAATATAGCTCCAATGTGAGTAACAAAGGATAGGAACCAATGCTATCTTCTAACTGTTAACGATGCTGCTTGACGCTATTTGCACAAAATTGAATCAGGCGATTTTAGAAAATTCTATTATGAAATGTATTATATGCATGTATAGAAGTTCTATTAGACTTATATTTGATATCCTTTAAAAGAAAGATATAGATGGCAAGTCCAAGCAAAAGATACACCTACTAAAACACACTTAATTCCATGATAACGGGAAAATGGTATGACGAACCTTGGCATTACGAACAATGGCTTTGACAGCTTAAAACAATCACAGGAATAGAGCACATCCGGATGCGTATAAAAGCTATCAAAGCAGCCGAAATTTGAGAAACAAAAAACAGGTAACAGGAACCAAAAGAATAACTATTTAGTTAGAAGGAAGCTACATAGTTCTTCAGGAGCGATGATTTTCATAGGTACATAATCGAATTGGCAAGCACACAATGATACCAGCTTCCCCAGACTAAAATGAATAGCAAGCCTAGATCCAACCTTGAAAAATTATTTCACCACTAATATATGACTGTTGGACTGAATAGTAGAAGAGAATAGATTATTAGAGTATAGATTCATATACCATCCTTAGCCGTAAGCCCACCATTCACCACGATTGGCAATAGAGTAATTGTCAAGAGTCACTAAGCTCCTTAACATATGATATCTTTGTTGAGATTACTTTTTAAGCACAAAATGCACACAGACAACAATTTTTATTGATATCACCAAATCCTTTTTGTCAAGTCAGATTGAGTCTCAATCTTAATTCAGGTGAACTTTTACTACCGAAAAATAGAGAATTATTGCACATTATAGTTTCTGCATATGTTGGCAAAAGAATGTGAATTCATATCTTTTGTACTTCTATCAATTTGAAATTAAAGAATAGTTCTTGGTCTACTGAAGACTCACGAAATGATGGGAAGAGTTCATAAAACATGGAGTATGTAAGTTGAGCGTTAGAAGGCAAAGAGAAAAAGCTAAACGAAGGTAACCTGAAACCCCATCAGTTACCGGACTGCATCATATGCTCAGAACAATACAAAACACTGATTTGACTCTTCCGCATAATTTTTTTTACAAATGATCCCTGACAAAATTTCCCAGGAAGAAATATAATCATTAATTAGACTGAAAGAGGCGGTAAGACTATGGGCTTACTTGCAAGAGGGGGGTGGCAAGTGGGAACCAATATTGTCCAAATACTTCCAATTGGAGATGGAGTAGTAGACCTTTTATGAGTCAAGGATTCGACTTGTAGGAATCACACACACTTATACATATGAACATGAACGGGAAGACTTACAATTGGGAGAAAACACTGTGAGAAAATTCCCTATGCACGTGAGGAAGAAAGATAAGACTCTGATTTGCTTCGAAAATGCGTGATTTCTACAAAGAGATTACTTTTAACTTTGGGAGTGATTTGTTCCGTTTGTCGAAATTTCTGGCCGTCCAAACTGGTCTTGAAGCAGATGCATCTTTGGCCGGTGACGACGGTGAAGGCTTCATAACTTGCGGCGAATTTGCAATAGATGGAATCGTTGCGCTTTGAACGGACGCTGGCAGAAGAGAGGAAACACTTAGTTTAGGTCTTGTTTTGGCGTCCCTTCGGATACATGCGATAAATGTTAGCAGTTAATGTGTAAATACCTTAATACAGAAAGTTTAAAATGATGGAAAAATATCAAAAAAAATGACAAAATAGATAAATGGGGATTCTGACGGGAGAGTTGTGCCACATCACCGGGTTATGTCCCTAGAATATATAGATATATAGATTGCCAACAAAATTAAGAAAACTGTAAAGAGGTCGAGCTTCCAAAGGCTTATACTCTGTCGAGGAAATGATAAGCACCGTCGGAACTGGCGGCGTTCGAATTAGCAGCTATCTCCGGCTTTCGTACACGGCGGAGACGCCTCTCCTTCTTCCCAACGTGCTCTTCTTCCGCCGCTGCAGCCGCCGCTTCTTCACATCCTGCTCTGCCTCCTCGACGAAGCAGAAAGTTATTGTCATTTCGGGACCCACCGGTGCCGGCAAAAGCAAGCTAGCATTAGAGCTCGCTAAGCAACTTAATGGTGAAATCATCAGCGCTGATTCTGTCCAGGTTCTTAGTTATCTAACTCACTCAACGCTTTATTATTAGCCTCATTAATTGCTTCCATTTTGTTTAGATAAATAACTGAAATTGCCATTAAACGAGGAATTAAATTGAAGTATTAACACCTGACTTGAATGAATCATAAACTTGTCAATTTGTCGAATTTGAATAGTGTTGTTCGACCTCGGCGCTTTATTATTAACCTAATAAATTTGCTTCCATTTTGTTTGTTAAATTACTGAAATTGTGGCGACAAAGAAATTGCTGAAATTTTCATTAAATAAGGAATAAAGTTGAATTACTAAAACGTGAATTAAAGTTAAATTAAATAAATTTTTAAGCTTTTTAATGTGTAGAATTCAGTAGTGTTGCTTGAGGAGTGCAACTCAGTTGATTTATAATTGAGACGTTTTGTAGTTAGAAACTTGACATATTCTCTGGCTTTATAGGTGTATCGAGGGCTTGATGTAGGTTCAGCGAAGCCTTCCATTCGTGAAAGAGAGGTATTGCTTCAGCATATTTGAGATTATGTTTTACATTAGTATTTTTATTGCATTAGTTCTTGAGTCATGCTTCTAACATGAAATATGTTTGCCTATTCTCTCTGCATAATTAGTTCTTTTGAGGTTCATGTGTTGATGCGTACTGGATTACTAATTTAAGGAGCTTTATTACTATCTGTTGTTCCATCCGGGGATGCAAAATACTTTATGATGTTCTTGAGTCATGATTTGCAGGAAGTAGTACATCATCTGGTTGACATATTGCATCCATCTGAAGGTATTTCTGACTGAATTGGGTTGTCTGAAATAAATTTTGCATGAATTTCAATAGCTGTGGCCTGTGCAGCACACAATGATTCATGATCCACGTCCTCTACATTGTCATTATTAGTGATTAGATGAGTAAGTTTGATGCTTGTGACCTGTGACAGTAATCAGCGATAAAACCTCTCTGCTTTCCATTTCTGTGGAACATCCAGAACTTAAAATCAATGAAGTGAACACATCAAAGTTCCTTGATTTATTGGAACTCTCAAACTCCCCACAATGTTTTTTACTTGATGAACAAGTTCGAAAGTAATAGAATGTGTGACTTACTGGCTTTCTACGCGTTTGGTAAACAATTAAAGTGCTTATAAGCCAAAATCAACCAAAAGTCATAAGTTTCCTTTCCGCTTAAGCACTTTTTATTTGATCAAGAGTTTTTTAATATTTCATCCCAATAATTTTTTTAAAATCACCAAAATACTCTTCCCAAAACAGAACGCCTAACTCTCATTTCATTCCATTTTCAACATTCGTCCTTTTCCTTGTAAATATACTTTTAAATATATATATTTTTAAATATGTTTAGGGTAATTTCGGTCTTCAACAGGAAAGGGCGTTTCAACACTTTTTTACCAAACACACCTAGTGTTTATTATCAATTGCACTCTGATCAAGTCTTTATTCGAGGGAACCTTAGCCAAGTTGGTGGGTCGGGACTGTAATTCATGTGAAATATCACTTGCGAACTTTGGTCATATCTATTAAGCTGCTGGTATATGCAATTTGATGTGTCCTTCAATTTTTCATCTTTTAATGCTAATGCAGAAACTTTTTTCTTCTTTCCTTTGGGTATGTCATCAGATTATTCCGTTGGACAATTTTTTGAGGATGCAAGGCAAACTACCAGAGATATCCTTGATAGGGGCCGCGTTCCAATAGTTGCTGGTGGTACTGGATTATATTTACGGTGGTATGTGTAGAATATAACATTTCACACTTGAAAACTTTTGCAAAATTGAGGACACATTCAAACTAAAGCTAAACTTTTTGGTTGCAACTTATATCAAACTAAAGCTTTTGGAAAAGTCATTATATAAAACCTATTCACTGTGAGAGAGAAAGAATGAGGGTATGTGAATAAGCTATGCTGCATTATCTATCTATAAATCGGCTTTGTTATCCTTATAAATGAAGCTTACATATATCCTGTAACTGGTGATAGAATCAGATGTTGGATATGCAAGAATTCGGTTTTCATACAGTCTCTACGACTGAAAAATTTAATCTAAAGGGGTATTATCTTCCAACTCATATAATACACTGTCCAACGTTTAAGGTTTATTTATGGGAAGCCAGATGTTCCAAAAGCATCTCGAGAGATTACCTCTGAAGTCTACTCAGAGCTTGCAAATTTACAGAATGATTATGACTGGGATGCTGCTGTTCAGTTATTGGTTAAAGCTGGTGATGCTGGTGCCCAGTCTTTAGCGGCAAATGATTGGTACCGCTTGCGCCGCAGGCTTGAAATTATTAAGGTAATTATGAAAAAGCGTAACTTTCACCTGTGATCCCTCTGATTTGGACCCCTTTTCTGCTATGTTGCTTGGATCCTCCAAAATACTGTCGCACCCGTATCGGTCCTCCACAAATGCAACTCTTGGAGGATCCGACACACACCCGTCAGCATTTTGGATGATGCAAGCAAGGCAACTTTTCTGTAAGCTAGATCATGTTTTGTATGATACGGTGGAAATTAGAGATTTCTCTGTTATGGTTTATCACTTACTAATGTGCTTGCGGGGAAAATCCATGTTTTCTTGTCAACTGTTGCTATGCTTGTAGCGAGAACTTTGATTGGTTTAGCAAGAGCTCTTTGTGGTTATGAAGTAGTTGAGATGGATTGGGATGTGCACAATTGTCGGTCCATTTTGTCCCTGCTCAGTTTATCTGTTGATGAAAATGCTAAATATACTTTTCTGCTTGCAGTCTAGTGGGTCACCTCCATCAGCCTTTGAAGTCCCATATAATTCTTTCAGAGAACAGCTTGATTCAGGTGTAGCAGATGCTGCTGATGTCAAGAATTCTGCTGACAAATTGCAGCAGAGTAACAAAAAGGATTTGGAGTATGATTTTCTTTGTTATTTCCTTTCCACCAATAGGCTGGATCTCTATAGATCAATTGATTTCCGGTGTGAAGATATGCTTTTAGGTAAAAAATTAATGAAATCGTGTGATTTATTTGCTTGCTTTAATAATTCTCTGGAGATCTTAGAAGTCTCAATCACAATACTAATTCTTGAACTAATCTAAAAAAATTTATCATCTCGAAGTATGGCAAATGCTGCTCGAATTACTGCTTTCCTTGTCATTATTCAAAAGCCTTCATGGCGGAACATTGTTTTCTGTCTTAAGATTTATGTTGGTATCATGATACCTAGGCTTAATTATCTATCATCTGCGGATATACCTATCAGAAAATATTCTTCTGAAGAACTGTAGAAACATTTTCGACTTGGAAGTTGGATAGTGAACTATGAGTTATCAAATGCAAATAGTTTGGTGACATTCTGAGTTTATTTTGTCAATAGAGGTTAATTCTTCTTATAAAAGTTATCTTTTTTGCTTTTCTCTAGCAAGTTGAAATACCAATCTTAGCTTCAAATAAGATTTTTACTTTTTAGTTCCTTAACAACTTAAATTAGAATACCTTGATCCTAGTTAATTCGTTATGATGGTGGCATGCTTCAGGAACAGATGGAATTCTATCTGAGGCAAGGTGGCTTCTTGATTTGGGTCTTTTGCCAAACTCAAATTCTGCAACTCGAGCAATTGGTTACCGACAAGTATAATTTCATCCCTATAACTTGAACAAAAACCAATAGTTTGTTTCCTAATGTGTTTGTTTAAAATCTTTCAGGCAATGGAATACCTTCTAAGATGTAGAGAATATGGAAGTTGGAATTCTGCTGGGGACTTCTATGAGTTTTTATCTGAATTCCAGAAAGCATCTAGGTGATTTTACTTTCTCTTATGACTATATTATATCACATATTAGGACAACCTTTAACATTTAGATGTAGTAGTTTTCTGCAATGTTTTTCTCTCTCTAGTGTCGCACTTTCTTTCTGGATGCTTCTGTGTTGTAGTGATATGCATGCAATATTTTCCATGGCAGCAGAGAGTTTCACAAGCTATTCTTGATAGAATTTAAGCATGTAGTGTTGAAGACAACTTTTCTGCTGAGAGTTACACAAACTATTCTTGATAGAATTTAAGCATGTCTCCGGCAGCAATGTTGAAGACAACTTTTCTACTTAACCCTCACTTTCTTGTCTCCTGATCACTCCCACACTTCATGGTACTATTGTCACTTATCAAGAGAAGTAAAGAGCACTATGATTATGGGTGCAAATGTCAGGAACTCTTGGTAGTGCTGCCTAAATCTGCCTACTCTGACTCCAGTCTGGTCCTTTTCGTAGACTTGGGTAGCTTTCACTGGTTTTCTTGATTCAATTGGATTGCCTAGAATATAGTTGTTTGCAATTCGTAAGTTATTTGACTGATTCTTATATTCTTGTGCAGAAATTTTGCAAAAAGGCAGATGACTTGGTTTCGCAATGAACAGATTTATGAGTGGATAGATGCTTCTAAACCTTTGGTACGTCATTTCTGTTCCTTAAGGAATTTCTATGCCTTTCTCTTTGTTAATAGAACTTTTATCAAGTTGATGTTTCTCTTCATTCTGGATGCAGTAGCTGAGCTTTTCCTGGGTTTTAATAGTTGCTCATGATTCCTTTTATTGCAACTATCATATACATACATTCATGCATGCAGATGTGTGCACGCATCTCTTTGTGTATGCCATAGTTGCATTTTCGGTATTGTGTCATTGTGTGAATATTAAGGCTGATTCTGAAAGGTTCAGAATAGTAATGAATCCTTTTCAAAGCAATAATAACCATATTGTGGGAAGATTTTCTTTCAAATTGATTTCATCATAGAGTGAGTATAAGTTTCACAATGACTTGTTTTGGTTGTAGACGCTTCTTCTTGCCTTAAGGCTTTTCTTCTCCTAAAGCAACATGCCATGAGCACAAATTATAGGAAGTGACAATTGTAAGCATAATAAGAATTCTTTGAATTGGAGTTAGTATGAGATTACTTCCAAGTTCCCCTTTTATCGAGAAAAATATATTTGTTATTCTATGCCTTTATGTGCAGAGGCAATCGTGTCTCTTTTCCCTCTGAAAAATAGTTTAATTGTTTAGTCCTACCTTTTGTTACACCTTATCTCCAAATAGCATGAAGCTCCTCAATATTCTTCTGCTGACATCTGAAAATGCCATTACCAGGAAAAGGTGCTAAGCTTCATATGTGATTCATACAGCAGTCAGGAAGGCCATCTCCAGGTGCCTGAGTCACTTCGTATGAAGAAAGATATTAGAAACCCCCGCCAAGTAGCAGAACTGAAGGCCTATCGTACTAGAAATAGGTATGATCTTGAAAATATTAAAATATAGCTTTTCTCTTGCTCCTAGGCTGAAGTATCTGTCTGCACGTGAAGGCATTTCATTGGGCGTGAGGATTGCTCTGATGTTCTAGACTGGATAAAGACAATGTATTGTGAAGCCACTGTGTCTTCTTTGTTAACCAATAGCTAGACATTTTTGTGGAGGTTAGCTTATGGAGATAATTACTACTACTTATTATTTTGATAATTGGATTTGATCACTACCTTTTCCTTATTTTTTGGATTTAAAGACCGTGGACTCTACTGTGTGCAGTACTCTCGGGAACCCCTTCAGGCAACACTTTTAAGAGAGTTGTCTTTCTCTACTTCTGTTGCGTTACGAAGGTTGAGGTTGTTATGAATGAAGAGAGAGTAGCATCTGATGAGGCAATTGGACTGTGGTTGGCGCAACGTCAATCTGTACTTGAGATTTTTTTTGTAAATGTAGGATTCTGTACATGAACTCCTATCAGCCAGAAAACCATACGTTTTCCATGCTTGAGGATTTGGAGAGGATGTTGTTGGAATATTGTATTTTCATTTCCAGTGTCCTGCTCGCATCAACACATTGCTGGCCTCCCACTCCCAAACCAAAGTTTCATCTTTTGATGTGAGCCAGATAATACGCACTTAAGTCCTATATTTTCTGCACTGAAGTACTCGCATTAAAATGTCTGGCGGATTTTTTGGACAAGGCGGGTAAACTACAGATCAACAAAAGGTTGTCCGATGTCACTTTGTAAATGCCACTGCAAGCGGAGGTATTTTAATGTCGATGAAAATTACTGTGGTTAAGAAGTTGTGTTCTCTCTTTCTGGCTATTACAATTAAAGAAAGATGCCTAGTGGCATTTTAAAAAAATACGAGAAAAATGATGCGCTAGTGCAGGACTATCAACTGCTGATTTTTTTAACCTAAAAGGAATTCATATTTTCTGAGAGAAAGTGAAAAATCGATCACCACTTGGGCTAACCTTTTTACCTTTAAGATGAGAACTTGGTCCGCTGTTAAAGCATGCGCAACGATATGTACAGAGAATATGCTTCATTGTGATTGATCAAGAAAAGGAATATGCTTCATGTGCTACGATGCTAGTGAACTAGGAAAAGATGAAATGAAGTACATCAAAACCTAAAAAACAACTAAAATATCAGAAAACTAATGGATCTAGATACCGAGTACAAGCTTGTAAATTGGAGTTAATAGTCTATTGGTTCCAATTACCTGCATACATAATTTGCAATTCTAATTCATTAACCATCTTCTCTTCCTCTGTCCTTTGCTTTTCAACTCACTCCCGAAAAGTTTAAAAACCGAGTTGATTAGTCGAGTCAACTAATGACTGACATGGTGTATTTTTTCACTTAATTGTGATTAATGTATACTTTTAATTGTTTATTGTTATAAAATAAAAGCAACTTAGTAAAGCATGAACAAGACATATTGTTATGAAATAAAAGTAATTTAGTAAAACATGAACAAGAAATGGAGATAGAGAGAAAGAAGAGATTTTCTTCTTCAATTGTGTATATTTTCCTATCTATTACAAGGCATTTATATAGGCATGAAAAGTGAAGAAAAATATGTCATTGAATATGCCATTAAGCATAAAAATATGTCATTGAATATGTCATTAAGCATTTGAGAAGATCGTGGAGGAAGAGTAAACATCCACCATAATTTGATTTTTCTTATAACACTCCCCCTTGGATGTCCATAGATAATGTGCCTCGTTAAAACCTTATTAGGAAAAAATCCTATGGCAAAAAAATCCTAGTGAAGGAAAAAGAGTACACATATTTAGAAATACGCCTTTTGGTTGCCTCGTTAAAAACCTTGCAAGGAAAACCCAGTGGGACAAAACCTTGTAAGGAAAAAAGAATACAATGCGTATTAACTCCCCCTTATGAGAGCATCAATTCACATCCTTGAACTTTCGTATCCCAATCTTGTACATTAGTTTCTTGAAGATTGACGTCGATAGAGATTTGGTGAACAAATCAACCATATTATCACTTGAACGAATCTATTGCACATTGATATCACCATTCTCTTTTGAAGATCATGTGTGAAAAATAACTTTGGTGAAATGTGCTTTGTCATATCCCCTTTTATGAATTCTCCCTTCAACTGGGCTATGCATGCTGCATTGTCTTCATACAAAATTGTGGGTAGTTTGTCATACTTCAAACCACATTTGTCTCGAATAAGGTGTATTATAGACCTCGACCATACACATTCTCGACTTGCTTCATGAATAGCAATTATATCAGCATGATTAGATGAAGTAGCCACGATTGATTGCTTAGTCGATCGCCAAGATATGGCAGTGCCTCCATATGTAAACACATAGCCTGTTTGAGATCGAACCTTTTGTGGGTCATATAAATACCCAGCATCGGCATAACCAACAAGATCAGGACTGCAATCATTGCCATAAAATAATCCCATATCGGTAGTCCCTTTTAGATACCGCAATATGTGTTTGATTCCATTCCAATGTCTCCTTGTAGGAGCAGAGCTATATCTTGTTAAGACATTAACTGAAAAAGTTATGTCAGATCTTGTAATGTTAGAAAGATACATTAGTGTACCAATTGCACTAAGATATGGTACGTCAGGACCAAGAAGCTCTTTATTATTTTCATGAGGTCGGAATGGATGTGCTTTATTCATATAAAATCGCTTTAAAATCATTTTAGTGTATGTTGATTGATGGACAAAAATTCCACTTTTCATATACTCAATTTGTAGACCAAGACAAAATTTTATCTTTTCAAGATCTTTCATTTCAAATTCTTTCTTTAAATAGTCTACTACTTTAGGAAGCTCTACTGCTTTAGGAAGCTCCCTAGGAGTTCCAATGATATTTAAATCATCAACATACACGGTGATTATAACAAATTTAGATCCATCTTTTTATAAAGACACAAGGACAGATTGAATCATTCTTGTACCCTTCTTTCAACAGGTACTCACTCAGGCGATTATACCACATGCGCCCTGATTGTTTCAATCCGTATAAGGATTTTTGAAGCTTTATTTAATAATTTTTTTGGAAACTTTAATATGCTTCAGAACAATTTAAATCCTTCAATGATTTTCATTATACACATATCACGTTTTTCTTGTAATGCCAGATTAAAACCTGAAATGGCGACATCCACCACGAGAGAACATGTCTCTATATAATCAATGCCAGGATATTTATAAATCTTCTTGTGACACAAGTCGTCTTTATGTCTATCGACTTGACCTTTTTTTCCGCACAAGAACACATTTATACCTCCACTGGCTTTATACTTTCAGGTGTTGGGACTATCCGTCCAACTTCATATTTTTCAGGTGAAATCAATTTTCATTGCGTATTTTTCATTTGGCCAAACATTTATCTGTCCAAATTACATGACAGATTTGAGCTCAAGATCCTCGTCAATATTAATAAGATTGAGCACTACATTATATTAACAGTATCGTCGACGATCATTTTATATCGGTTCTACTATTACCCAATAAAGACATAACTTATTGAGATCTCTTTATCTTATTATTTTCAGGTACCTGAGCCTCTCCCATGAGGTCTTATGAAGTGTTATGTCGTGGTACTCTTCTAGAGCACTTGCCTCCTTATTATGACCATCTTGAACATTTGCTCCTCTCCTTCTTCAAGGAGTTTTATCTTTGGAACCGATTAGTCTATTATGCTTTATGCATGCCATGGACTCTATTCATTATGAACTTTATTTTATTTGGAGCATTAGCAGCTGAATATGACATTTAGCTTTGGGTCAGCAAATACGCCTGACAATATTTTGCAAATGAATTATCACTTGAACTTTAAGTTCACATTTTCTCGTACGAGGATCTCGATGTACTCATAATAATTCATTATATGCATTACTTTTTCAGCTTTTCATTTTCTCCTCCTATTGTTGAGATCACCAACACATATCCCTATCCTTATTTTGGGATCCATCTTTGTGCATTGTGGTGGAATAATTAAATCGTATAGCACATTCATATTTCTAGATGAAAATTATTTGGTTCCTGACCCTGAACCGATTGTGATAGGGAGAGCTTATCATAACTTGGCTAAATGCATACAAGTGCTGTTGTATATTAAATAATACATCACATACCAAATTTTATTTTGCCAATTTTGTTCTCATAACTAATGGTTTAGATATAATTGGAGGCATACAATTTCTGCTAAACCAACTTGGATTTAAACCAGTATTATCAAGATAAATCATCATAATTTATATTCTGGAACTATGCTCTAATAATTTGAGCAATCAATCTTGCAAAAGTCAAACTACAAGTTGATAATAAATGCACATGTGACCATATAATAGATGCATCTATTAAAATCATATAATAGTAAACGGTCCGCATGGAAGGTGACTGGGCCCATATATTTATCACCTTTTATTCGTTACAGAAATCAAAGGATTCAATCCCAACCTTAACTGGTATATCATGAGAATAAGCAGCACAAGAGAATTCTTGAAGAATCTTATATTT